GGAAACAAACAAAGGCCAATCACCATATATACAAGAGCCAGGGTATGCCTTCTTTCACCGTGTTCACTCGAGCGTGGGCCGAGAATAATAGCTGGAAAGCCGCAAGTATGTCACTCAGAACATCCTCTAGTTCATGGATTTTTAATAAGATAATATACAAAACCATTAATTTGACAATTGAAAAGGCAGCTTTTTCTCAATTTTACTCAAAGCAGTTAATTCAAAAATGAAATCAATAAGTGGAATGAAAACTGCAGTAAATTTTGTCCCTAATCAGCCAATCTTGTAAAATCACAAGCTAGTTATATATGTGGACCTCAATAACTACCTCACAAGTGTTCTCAAGCTATGCCACAACAGGACACTCACTTTCAAAAGATCAAGCACAAACATGCCGGTGCCAATATTTTCAGCAACCTGAACGCAAAACATGATTTCTGGTCCATTCATGTCAATGAGAACAGCTCAATGCTAAAAATACTCTAGGTAGATACTACTATTACAAATGCATGAAACCGTGTGCAAGTCAACATGTTATCAAAATGATTCATTCAATTGGAGCCAATTCTTGAGCAGTGAGAACTGTAAAGGCACAAGTGGAACTGATGACACCATTTTGAGGGTTCCAGAATTATAACAAGATAGGAATCTTTACTATTTATAACTATCAGTGCTGCAAACAAGTCCAAAGGCCGGGTGTATGTAATCAAAGAAAAACAGATCACATTATCCAGCAGGGTAAAAGAAGTGTGGGTTATTTACCCCTGAACTTGCCAAAGAGAAAATACCACTTCATACTGAAAAATCCAACTCAATCCACATTTTTAATTCATATTTTAAATTCATCTTTTACTAGATAGGCCTAATGTGTACTTTTAATCTATTTTATCTTACTAGACTGTGATTTTTGTGTTGATTCCACTGTTCCAGTGTTTCTAATGCTTTCTAAGACCCTCTATTAGTTTGTTTATATCCTTTGTACCCCCCTCCATCCACCCATTTTCCCTCCTCTTCCTCCTCCCCATTTTTCCACCTTCCTGTATTTGTGTTCCTCCATCTTTCCCTTCATTACAATTTTATCCCATCGTCATTTTAATTTTGAATCCGTAAAATGTGTATTGTTGTAATTCCTGTAACTGCGTGTATCTATAATCTTTTGGTATTTTTAGGTTGAATATTTTAATATGTGTTTTAATGCTAATCTTATATTGTACACTGGGGAGGTAATTTTCGTGCGTTTTATGTCCTAATCATGCAATAAATATTTGAATCTGGCATCTGGAATCAGGTACAGTTTCTTGGAATGTTGACAAGTCCATTAATCCGCCATCTATAAAGTCACACTGCAGACTTCCACAAACCTCTGCAATACGACTGCCTGAGTGGACTTTTAGCCATCAACTGTTTATTAAGAAACTGTGTAATCAAACTTGTACAATCTTATGGTATTTTGATCCAAACAAACACAAAACAGTCCTGGTTCAGATGCTACAATGATTTAAGGAGAGGCTGTTGCATGCATGCACATGTACATGTGTGTGGTGAAGATTTATTATTTATTTACATCTGTTCATACCACAGTGTACTTAGTGCCAATTACAGGATGAAGTGACATTTAAGAAGACAATGAAGAATTGTTCAGTTTTAGAGGAGGGAGGAAAACCCCAGATAAATATGCCAGGGAACCCCCCCCCCATCAGACAGGGGCTGCAAACTCAATCCACATACTAAGTGGGATTTGAACCCGGGTCACAGAGGTGAAAGGCCAGGAAAGAGCCACTACACCCACCTGACTCCCATTTCATGATCCATCAAAAGCCCCCTACTACAAATGGCCTATTCAAACCAATTGATTTTTGAATTGAATTTAACTGGAATGAATTGGTTCCAATTGGCAATCAATTGGTGCTCAATTGGTTTCAGTTGGTATGTTTTCTCTCCCATTTTTCCCCCCCATCAATTGGAGATTTCAAATTGGACACAATTGGTTTCAAATGGCATTTTTTTCTTCGCTATTCATTTTCCCCAATCAATTGAAATTTCAAATGGGAATCAAGTGGTTCAAATTGGTATGCTTTATCTGATTGTTTTCCTCAATCAAATGGAGTTTCAAATGGGACTCAACTGGTTTGAATTGGTAATGAAATGGTTTCAACTGATTCTTTGGTTGGTTACAATTGGATTGTGAATTGGCTTTCAAATGGTGTCACTTGGTTTGAAATGGTCCAACCGAGAAAGGGTCCAAATTTACTATTCTTACCAACTGAACCCAATTGGATTCCAATTGATTACAAGGAAAAGCAATTGGTTTTGGAATTGATTATTGAATTGGTAAGTGAATTGGATCCAATTCAACATACGTGAATTGGATTCAATGGGTAAGAGAATTGGATCCAATGGGTATGTGAATTGCAACCCATGGGTAAGTGAATTGGTCTCTATAGGTAAATGAATTGGACATTTTCAGTTGGGTCCTCATATCAATGAATACTGATCCACCTTAAGCCATATCACCCAGGAAAAGGTTTCGGTTGCTGGCAGTTTGCCACGGTTTCTGACACAGGATGGCACACACATTTTCTCCGGACAGTCTTGTCACTCTCATTCATTTACCATGGCAATTCCAAAAATTCCTGAAAATAGATGGCAGTGGCAAGTATTTGTGTGTGGGAAGTGGGACAGCACGATGTGCTTAGTCTGCCTGCATCTATGGGTAGATGTTACAAGAGGGTGTATTTTCATTAAAATGAATAATTAGTATTTCAGGGCCAGCCTCTCTATTCTTGGTATGTCCTAGTGAATATGTTGATTGGATTGATTTTTGGGGTGTGGTATTTCAAATAAGGCTGTAGTGGGAAAGTGTTGCAAGAATTTTGTGGGCTTTTATTTTACACAACATACAGAGGGCTTTTGGGCAGTTCTTAGTGCATTTGGACTGACAACATTTGCTTGTCAGTTTGTGCTAGAGACAGCTCGGTGGTGCTGTAGCACATATTAGCAGGGCATTAACTCAAGTCAATTTCATTTTGGGAAAATTTATTCTCTAAAAATGAGGATAGCCAAGAGAAACCCCAAACTCCAAGTTACTTAGAACCCGGTATGTGACAGCAGACAATCCATTTGTTGCACAGTAGTGGGCACCATGTCAGTATGGTTGGGTGATTTGGATTTTTGCTGTATAGCTCAATAAGAAGAGATAATTTGGGTGGTCCTACAAAAGATTCTCAGGCCTCTTTTCACAAAGTCACTGTAGAAACAAGTGATCATAACCATTTTTTTCTTTCCCTAACCTACCCAGACAAGTCACAAAACTCCAGTATCTAGTTAGAAAAATCACGTATAGACTGCACCTATTCTTCAGAAAGACGTTAGCAACAGAGCAACCACAAAACAGTCTTCCACAACCAAAACTATTCGAGTTTCAGAATGAGTTTCTATGGCTGAAGCCAGTGTTGGCATTCACAGCGAACATTCTCTGCCACTCACTTTGGTGCTTGAATTTATTTCATTAACCTAACAACTTTCCAAGGATGAAGATGCTTTAGACTCACTGAGTGTAGACTGCACTTAAGCGTCATACAAACTGAAGTATGAACTCTGAAAATCCTTCACATAAGAGCTGGTGGAAGATCTCAAGTCAATCCTATTTTCACTAAATATTGATGAGGCCACCAGAAAAACAAATCATTGAGTTATTTCAGTTCTGGTCAGCTACTTTTGCCCTAAGCCACAAGAAGTAGTGGTGAAACATCTGGCCTCATTCACAGCAATAAAAGCAGTCCTTAATTTAAAAGGATTTTCAATTTTAAAGTACGTTACAATTCACATTACTGTGCATAAAAGATGTGCAGAAAATACTCAAATCTCAGTAGAATGGCATGAGCACTATAGTCTTGCTTTCATGGCCCAACGGTTGAAAGCTTCTTTAGTGTTATGAACAATATCCTTGACAGCAGAAAATTACAGATGCAGGTGACTATCTTTTCTGCCATTCAGCCCATCAAATATCAACTCAAGAGTCACAACAAGGCTGCTCTTCAGTTTATCTCCTCACCAGATTACTTACATGAAAGAGTTAACCCCACTCTCCGCAAGAATACGAAAAGAACTTGTAAGTGGTACCAAGACGGAAAAAATCAAGCTTCTGGTAAAATAGAAAGGAACAGAAGAGATATTGGAATGAGCCAGTTTGTTATTTCAACAGCGCATGCCTAAAATGAAGCATATTTGTGATCATTTTCGACATGTGTGCGAGGTCTGCCCAATCTTGCTTTGTTCCAAAATGACCTTGCTTGTTTGAAATGCTGAACTAGCTCATTAATATCCCTACTGAGTCTACACCCATGTCCAAGGCTCAAGCAAAGGAAGAACTTTCTGCTTCTGCATCAAGAGCAAAAAAAAGAATGAGACTAAGGAAAGGGAAAGATGCTGGTCGGACAGTTTTTAATAATTTTTGTATGGAGTTACTCTGCTCTATTTTGCCCTTGGCAAAGTATAAGGAAAAGTTCACTGTAATTGTACATTTTTTTCTGTACTTTAATATCACTGAATAATACAGATATATAGTTAATTTCAAGTGAGTCACATAAATAAAACCATGATTTATAAAGGTTACAAACTTAAGTTTTATGCAATATCTCTCAAATTTTTTGTTCATGTTGCTGTATAGTTGAAACTACCCTAAGGGGAGGGGCTACGTTTACCCAGCGAAATGTTGTGACTCGCAATTTCCAAGTTTTCCTCTTTGTTGGCACTCATTCACATGCCTGTATATATGAACAAACATGTTCCCCTGTTCCCACCCACTGTGCCCATCGATAAGCCACTCTTAATGACAGTTGTTCTGTGATGTCAAAGATAATATTGTGCTACATAGAACTGGCAGACAATGGAAGGCTTATTCAACCAGCTATTTTTTAAGCAGATGTTTTTAGCTGCTTTTATTGGACAGGGTTGGGACAAGCTCAATAAAGTCCAATCCAGGCCTACAAATGAAGCTTGCAACCATGCAACCAAGGCTTGTCTTTGAAGTTTCAAAAAAAATTGGTTCAAATGGGTTGCAAAGAAAGCTTTCGACTTAGCGAGGTCAATAAAATTGTTTACATTAGCCAAAATTTCAGTTTGTCAGTGTTTGTTTTTAAAAATCTGTACAATTCAGTAGGGACAGATGAGTTGTGTTTCTTCTAACCGGAAGTAATGCCGACAGGAGGTAACAATGCGAGCAGGGATACAGTGTACATGTATAAGCATGTTTGAGTTTCTATTGTGTTTGAATTCACCTATCTCTAAACTTCCAGTCACTCTAAAATCAATAAGTAACACTAATGAACAACTACCAATACAAGCAAATGTTAATAACGTAAGATCCATAAGATTACAAAATATAAAAATAACATACAAACACATATTTTCATCAAAATTGTAAAACGTACAGTAGAATACAGCTATGATGACCACCACATCAAAACAGTTGGGTATATCAACATCTCCCTTGGCTCTTGAATTTTTACCAAACATTAAAAATTTGCTTTAAGAGACATGTTTAGGACAGAGGCTACTAAGATGAAAGTTGAGGAATATTGCACATATGATGGAACAATGGCCAATGTGTGGCATGGGGGGGGGTCGGTATTGTTCATGAGTAGTCCACATTGCATGTATGTGTTTGTGTCCACAGGCAGCCATGTAGACGAGATGCTGAGTACATGTGTGCAACACTGCCGACTTTGGTGTTGAAAACTTTGCATGATAATCATAACAAAGCCAGGAAATTTGAACTAAAAAAAAATCAACAGAACAGAACATAAATACGCAGATAAACATAGACCAAAGCATTTGTTATCCAATTTGCTAAAGTCTTTGATAAATTTCTTGGTACTTTCAATCTTTTTAAAAAGCTTGCTGAAAATTTCATAGCCAACTTCAGACACAACATTTGTATTTGCCTCCAGTGGTACTGTATTAAAAGGGGTCACATTGTGGTCCATAATTATAGTGCCATTTTACCAATGGAAACCAATGTCACCGGTGTAACTAACTGGTAGGAAATTTGTTGTTGGTGGTTTAAAAAAGGTTTTCTTCAATTAGAGCCAAAAACAAGGGTCAGTCGGTAATGACAGCCCACAAAAATAATAACGGATGCCCTTATTCCATTTAGAAAAAGTCAGTGAGAATCATTACCTAGAAATACAACATTAAAAAGAGGAAACGAAAGGGAGAGAATCTGAGCACTTCCAATTGCGATGCATGTTTGGTCTTTGGCTAAACAATTCTACAACAATGTCAATAGGTGACATACATACATGAAATTCAATCAGCTCCTCATAAAAGACAAGACATTTCATACATGTGAATATACTCACTTTGTTTAATACAGCAATATATGCCTGAAGGGCACTCATAGCATCAGCTTTTATCAGTTTCTGCAAGGCAACTTCATACCGCAGTGAATAAATCAATGTAGATTCCAAATCTTCCATGTAAACAACCAATCTACAGGGTAGGATAAACAAAAAAAATTTGTAACACTTACTGTGTTACTTGCATCTCACTTCCTCTCACCCCAACTTAAAATGGGAAATATGGGCGACAAGCATTTGCATAAATTTTTTCCCCCCACAAGATTCCAACAATGTTGAAGCAGTGGTTATGACACCACATTGGTGCTTCCTTGGGATTTCACACTTCAACTCTGCCTATTAAGGTATAAGTGGTTGAATTGGTCACAATGACTGTCTTTCTTCTCACAGGTATTAATTTACTTATCATACATCCCCATCACACATCCTTACTGATTGAACCTGCACAGATTCATTCACATATTTTGGGCTTGAATGCTCCAAACCACAAGACTTAAGCCCAGTTCATACTTCACACGAAAGCGAAGCGAATTTCAAGACATAAACAATTAAAGTTCCATTGTGACATTGATTTTTCCCTGACAAATTCGCCTCGCATTCACTTTCGTCTGAAGTATGAACTAGCCCTAATGCAATCCACATAAAAAGCATGCATCTGATTTTACATATGATGATTATCTATACTTTTGTTATTTTTTTAAGGGGGAAAATAAATCGATTTATTCATGATGCAGTTGTACGTTATGGCAAGAAATGTTGCAAACAACTTCAAAATTCCCAACTTCTATGTAAAACATGCACTTACATTTACAATTATTCCAACAGAAATACTTGAGTTCAAAAATAAACACCACGCAACAAAAATGCTTCAGTCACATAGTCAGATTAATTATATAAGCAGTTCTGTCTTTGTGATGAATGCATGGAAAGGAAATAAACCCAAAGACATCAGCCAACATGCAGGGGTAACATTAAACAGCAGAACAAACAATCAGTCCATTTATGTGTGCAAGTAATTAATTTGGTTTTGATTGGGTTCATTGGAGAACAAATACCGAGAAAGCCCCAATAATGAACACCACTGCAAAACAAACTTACATCTTTCTTACCTTGCTACAGCTCTTCTTGAGGTATGATTAACAAATTGCTCGATGTTTTTGTCCACTTCATGATGTGGTGTTTTTCTCAAATTATCATCAGGTCCATTCATCACATTTCTTTCCTGTTCCTGTCCATTTAAGGTTTCTACATGTTGTCATTTCATATGGAGAAAAAAAAAGTAAATTGACGTTGAATGTGCTTAAAGGTAGAGTACTGAAATCATCTAAAGTCTAATGCCACAAACTCTATGTAAGAATACATGTTCTATGAGTGTGACCTCGTATGACAGCTGCATTGTGGTTGCAGAGCTATATTAAAATTAAGGTGTTTATGCTTACAAGGCTAGTTAATATTGCTAAATATTCTATGAACCATAGTGCACCTTCTATTGGTCCACCCAAGGCCTTTTTCTTCGCACTTTTTGCTTATGGATGTATCTTTTGACCTTATCTATATTCATCGAGCATTCAATGTTGCTAAAGCTGATCAGTGTTATCCTGATCAACCGCAAAGTCTTGTACTGTATCATACTTTTATCTCATATCTTTTTGTGTCACAATTCTGTTTTGTGAAAAAGTTACATTTTATGTTGGTTTTTATGCTACAACGTCACTTTCTGGGGCCGCCCTGTTGAAAGAGCCATCAGGATGCAGATCACTCTCCACAGCCAGAACAGTCAAACCCACCAGTCTACTATGCTATCCAGGGCCCTCTGCACCAGCCACCTCTGTGAGCCAGGTCACGCAACCCTCACCGCTTGGTGGCCTGCAACTAACCCACGGACACTACCGCTACGTCTACTGCCACAGTGAATTTCTCCACAGGCTCTCCAGGCAAGCATAGTCCTCCACCAAGAAAATCACGTCTGTCCAAGCACCAGGACTCCACCTCTCTCGCCACGGCTTTCCAGGCTCTTTTGGACATTCTCTCCAGCCGGGTCAGCCAACTGCAGCAGAATTAATCCCCTGCCACCTCGGCCCCAGATCCAGACTCACTCCTGTCCATGCCGCCGCCCTAGCCCTCCCCCACAGGAGAACCCTGCCTATGCCGGGCAGGCCTCGGCCTTCAACACTGGTTTGGATGCCCCCCTTGCAACCGTTCACCATGCCTCTCAATCGGCTCTGCCTCTGGCCTAACAAACCCGAGGAGACTCACATCGCTCCCTTTGGACATCCATGAATTCTCTTGGAAAGGCATCGACTCCATGGTTAGCCTCACCCCTGCCATGTCCTGTCTCTACATTCTCCAGCATGACATGATCCAAGTCTTGGGACTCCCTACACTGTGTCCAATCAAACTCTATCTGCAGGCACTCTTCTGCCCCAGCCAGGACCCAATAAACTAGGGCTTTTCAAAATTGACTGTCCGTGAACTCTGCTGAGCTTGCAGACTAAATTTGGCCCTTGGCACTCGATTGTCAGTGAACCCCCAAGCTTATTTGCATCGTCTAACAATGCGCCTTTTTTATGTTAATTTTCTAGGTTTGCCGAGTCAGTGGATGAGTGACTACATGAGGTTCACGGACTAATTGCCATTCTGATCTCTTTGTGGCCAATATGTTGGAAGCACTTGGGTCATAAAACCACCAGCATTTAAGCCTCGGTGGTTCATGCAGATTTCTCAAACATTCTTTGACTTCATTAGCATCCTTTCATACTTTGTTGGTAGCCCATTTTTTTTCTTGAAGCCACGTTTTCTTTCGCTTTGACGCTGTCAAAAACCACCTTTAGTTCATTTTTATATCATCAACAATTTTCTTTTTTTGACATGCTCTTCAAGAGAATAATTAAGGTTGGAAAAAAACATTTGATCATGGGCAGGAAAAAAAATTTACTGCAGAACTCCACTGGCCATCCAAAGTAAAGTGGCGGAAGCTACCTTTCCGCAAAATGTAGGTATTCAAAACATTACTTTCTAAATCATTGTGATGAAAGTTTTGAACACTGCGCCATCCAGATGTTTCGTTTACATTTTTGACCTATTTAATGATTTTTGTATTCATTTTACGCATGGTTTTGTTCCCTTCACAGTACGTTATAATTATAATTTCACTGTATGCCCACAGATATTTATTTCTGTAAATGACATTTTTTTCAAGACATACAAATTACTACTGTAAATGTCAGGTTTTTCTGAAAAAAAGTTCATAAAGGTAGTCCGATTTTACTGTAATTCATGGCCTATATTACTCCATAAGTGAACATAACAAGCTAATGTGACAGGCTCTGTAGGCTATGTGATACTGTTGCTGTGGATACACGGAGGTACAAATCAAGTGTCAGAATATTTAGCTTCGACTGTATAGTGCTCAGGGCAGTGGCTGCAGCCACTTGCAATTAAACTCAGGTGTGACTCCAAGTACAGCTAATTGGCCTAGGCCAAAAACCACGTGCACGCATATTTTGGTTCAGTTAGGTTCGGACGTGTACACTCATGTACCGGTACATGTACATACATGTGCAGTGGTCAGTGCACAATGAGACATTGGACAGCTCGCTACAAACATGCACAAAACAGGAAAAACAGCATGCTGAAATGTGAGTTCCCTACGTTTTAGGACACAACATCAAATTAGGTTTCGAGTGAATTGTGTTTTGCTTATTTTTCACGAAATAGATTCAACTACCATTCCATGCATTCAAAGAACCTTGTTTATATCCCGCGCTATGGTTATATCAAGTTAGCATTCTTTCCCAGGACAGTTTCCACGTGGCCAACAGGGTGATTTTCCACCTGCCTTTTTTTGAACAGATACCGTCATTTTGTTATTTGAGATTCTCAAACAACTTAGAGATCCAACAAAATTCGGTTACAACGCATGTGTACTACAAGGCAAGTTTATTAGGCCGTTGTGCCCTCCAACTGGAGTGCTGCACCACCCGGCAAAATCGTCTTTTCCTCCGGAGTTACCTTCGATAGAGCATAAGTTCGACTACAATCAGCATCTGATCAATATAAAAATGATTTATTTATGTGTTGTAAAAAAATTAATTCAAAGCATGTGAACTTTTTAATACTTATATTAAAATTCAGCGTGTATTTAAACTTGAGCTTGGCCAAGAAAATATATTTGTTGTTCGTATTTATATCAAGTTCGAATTTTTACATTCAAAGATGGTTTACATTGGTCTGAAAAATAAAATTAATTTTATACAATTTCTGATTGATTTCAAACCACTCTTTTCATAAGCACTCAGAGGGTATTGTCTTATTTTCTGAGAAAATTTTTTTTATTGTAAAAATTCGTTCCTTAGAGAAAACCAACTGCACCCCCTTATTTTGTTACCCCTCGATCACAAAGGATTTTTGGCGGAACTTAAGTCCCAAAAATAACCATAGGGCTTTTGTACATTAAGGCACCCTTCTCCAAACCTTTGATAAAAAAAAACATTTCACCATTAATGTTCACCTTAAAATAATTGGTTATCATTTGTTAGTGAATCTGAAGAGCTGCATTTAAAAGTGACTTGCTCATTCATAACATTTAGCGATACTGTCTGACTGGCCACTCTGAAAACCTTTGCTTTATAGCCATCAAGGTGAGTTGATCTTGGGGATCTGGAAACGGAAACCAATGGCCAAGAATTCGATTGATTCCCTCGACAGTGCGGTCGATTGCTCGCCATGCCGTTGGGGGGCTGACCACAGGGCAAGTGTCTCTGACAACTATACTGAAATCTGAAATATCGCAGTGCAAGGCATACTGTAAGCAGGGGCGGCAGAGCATGATTTCTCTAAGTTCTCCAAGTCACCCAAAAGCGCTTCCGATAGTCTCACAATCGTGGCTGGGCGAAATCTGTATCGCGAATGGGTATGAACAGCTGAAGTGGATTTTGTCTATTGCAAAACACCTGCCTCTGTCTCTGAATTGGACAGTTTCTTTGCAAATTCTCATGAACACGACGTCTCCAAAGTAACGTGGCCATATTGATCGAAAGTCTTGTTTAAATACAAAAATGCGGTTGTTGAGGCAAATTTTTGCTCACTTATCACTTTAGGCAAAAAAAACATGCTTAATGGTTGCTATGAAATGACGAGATTGCTAAGAGTGCCTTTTAAGCACAAAATCAGCTGTGAAGTGGCGCTATGAAAAAGAGCCCTGGTTTGTAACATTGCAGTGTAAAGTTTGTACAAATTATAATCACCTCAACGCACAGCTAGTAGTTCATATCATTTTGTTCATAAGTATATTACGAGTACATAAAAGTACCAAAATGGTGCTACTTGATACATGATGATGTAATAAGTTTAATACTAGAATGGCTGGGAATGGATTGAAAGAGAAGTTACCTGTACATATAAAAATACTACTTTTATCATGTGCAGCAACCCTCGGTGTCAAATGCTGTCTCCCACTCCTAAATAAAAAATTTTGTTGCTGCACTAATTATACTGTGACACTCCAATTCCTCCACACTGGCAGCTAAACCAAATTCAACAAATAAGACAGATTCCCTACTCACAGGGATATCAATTATCCAGGCAGATTCTGATTAGAGAAATCTGCAGATGCCCACTTCACACAACTAATCTCTAAAAATTTATTTGTATCATCATGGAGGAAGGACACAGAAGTTTGAACTGCTGAAGCTGAAACATCTGGACAATTACTGCTTTCTGGCATGCCCGGTATGTACATAGCCAGAATGCAGAGGCATCAACTGTTTCACAATCCCAAGACCCATTTGAACCCTATGATCGTCGCTCCAATTTTTGCAATTTATAAGATTTTGTTTAATTGAATCATTGTTATTACAGCGTTTATACAACAGTGTATTTTATGCTATCTCATGATCACTCCTTGTGCTGAAATATCACATTTCATTTGTTATGAACTTAATTAGGTTTCCAGTGGTGGTTGACATATTGTTGGCCAGCCTCAGCCAAATTTGCATCAAGTCTTTGAAAAAACTGATGTGTTGGAAGGGCCAAGAACAAAATTACAAACAGTGCATGGATAAAAGAACAAAAATCAAAATAAAAAAGTTTATATACGACGGCAAAAGTAGGTCTAATATTAGGGATTTGTCTGTCTCTATCCCTGGTCACAGCGACAGGTGTAGTTTATTGCAAACAAAACACCACAAGTATTGCTAGGATACTACTGGCCCCACTTGTCAGACTAAGCTGCAGGTAGTCATTGGGCATTTTTAGAATGTTTTCTACTATTTGTCTGATATCATTGAGCACTTTGAAGTGCCAGAGTTGTAATTCCTTCTGCATCCTTCCTCCACTGTGTCATGTAGCATCCACAAAAGTCGATGAGCAACTTTGTTTACATTCTTAGACGTTGTTTGGGTAATTTTGAATTAGGGAAGAATACAGTTCATCTAACTTGTGACAAATTATTCACTTAAATCAAATACGTGTTTTCCAAGGCATAATAAGGAATAATGTTAATGAGCCTACCCTACGGCTCATTTTTATACAAGCAAAACAAACAAAAACGAATTAAACAATATCGGGATAATTTATGTATATATTCATTTACTCATTCTAAATGAGTTGCTTCAGAGACAGATGAGATTAATGAAGGTTTGTGAAAAACCCCTTCCAGAAACTATACATTAAAATCCACACTTCTCAGTAAACTGTTTGCTAAAAAGAGTGATTCTAAGACAGATATAATGAAAGCAATATATATATATGTAGCCTACAAATGTTGTTTTCTTGCCTAAATTCCTAGCCCTCTGTCCTCGATACTTTCCTTTCATCTGTGTTTATCTCTTTTTATCCTTTTCCATGTACATGTACATGCAGCTTTACCTTTAAGACAGATTCTTGGTTCAAACTTTTGCCTCTCATAAATTACAGGTCATTTCAATTAGATGGCCTCAAACTGCTGCGGCTTTTTCATCAATCACACACAAATTATCCTAAATAATCATAAAATATTAAAGCTTAAATGGCTCACCCTTGGTACCTGAAGCAGGCAAAGTCTGCTTTATGTAAGCTTGCAAAGCCTTGAAGAATGACTCTCTATTCCCCATTCTAAAACAAAAGAACGAGAATGACGTTAAATACTAATGCCCAGTCAAATCTATGCCAAACCCAACAACTATTATTTCCAAGGACGGATTTGCACCGGGGGGGTGTTGATTGATTTTGGATGTACCTGATGTATATTATAACACTGTATACTCAGTGTTTGCCCCCAAAGGCTTGTGAAAACACAAAATCCATACCAAATTAATTGTGTGCTCCCACAATTTGCTTCATGGGATAATAGAGTGAATTGCAACCTTCAACTTCTGGTTGAAACTACAAGTGCCTTGTTACTTAAATTTGGTAAAATATATGCAATTGCTTTCGACAGTGTTAGCCCCAAACCAAACACTTTTCTTAAAAAAGTACCAGTGATGTCATGAAATATTCAATTGCCCTCTGGCGACAGTTTGAAAATTCAAACATATTTCTTGAGTTGATGTCTGCAACAAAGTTTCTTGTAACTGCGTGAAACTTGGTAGATGAAATGATCTTTATGCCTACAACACGTGTGTGGAAAAGACAGAATGATGACATCATTAGACCACAAGTTACATTGAAAGTGCTTTTAATTTTAACAAAATTAATCCTTATGGATGGAGTCTTGAATTGTCCATCATAGGATGGAGTAAACATCAGTGTTGATAGTTCCAGGTTTTGGGCTTGTCTGATTGTTCATAAGTGCACTCCGTCCATCACTTAAGTCTACGATGTTTAACAGGTAAGCCTGTAGGCTTTGCACAGGCCCACAGGCTTTGTGTTGTAAGCCACAGTAATTCCTTCCCCACATTAAGTGTGGGTCGGGTCTACTAGAGAATACCTACCCAAACAGTCACTATTGCATATTATTCATTCGCTGGAAAGATTTGATCACCCGTGGTGCACCCTGACCTCCCACAATGCAGCACGGCCTCAATGCCATGATCATCCTTCTTTTCAAAAGCGGCTGAAAAAAGGTCGGAGCCAAAGTGGGGAGGATAGGCGGGAGAAGACTGTTTGGGTACGTATTCTCTAGTAGACTCCACCCAGACTTAATGTGGGGAAGGACTCTACCGCTATACCTACCCAAACAGTCACTACATATGCAGAGTAGCACCGGTCTAGGTGGGGGGTTGGTGACGACACATCTACTGCTGAGAATACACTTTTACATATAAACAAGAAGGTATGTAAAAATTTAAGAAATGGTAAAGGTACTTCATAATGACTTGTTTGTCCTTCTGGAGGTCCCTTTGACCTCTGCGCTGCAGACAGTAGGACTGTCCTGCCATTTGCAGTGTCACTCTGCAGGACATCCCTCAAGTTGCACGAGGTTGAAGGAGACTTCCAAAAAACAGTTTTGCAAATGTTTGCAATGGAAACATCTCGAGAGTAAGACAAAAATGCAGATCCTGCTCTTACGCCATGAACCCTGATGTAGTAACGACTATGTTCATCAGAGCTTAATGGCCAGACTGGATTAGCAAATCCAATGGCTGAAGCCTTCCAGCAGGCAATAGTGTACTGACACTGCTGGACGGTGTGGTCTCATGAAAGTGATTAGCGATGGGGTTAATGTCATCCCTTTCATGCTATCCTTTTAGTCAGGTACCACTTCAGGACATGAACAGGCCCCCAAAGTTTATTCGCATCGTCTCCAGGATGTAAGTAGGTGGAGAGTGTAAAGATATCAGACGGATCTGGTGAGGGAGTCTGATCCTTCGTCAGGAAGCTGATCAAAGGAATGAGGTGAACACCATGCAGCTCCCAACACAGATCGCCTTCGGCAAAGGGGAGAGCCTATAGTTTGCTGCCTCCTCAGGACATAACCATTTTCAGGAGAAAGGCCAACCTGACACAGGTGTAAGGCAGGCATTATTAGGGTTCAAAGGAAGGACCGGAAAGCATCTAGAGAACCTAGCTTAGGTGTTATGACCAGACCAATTTCCCAACAAGGGGACACCGGATAAGCATATCATACAAAAGGTGATGGAATGTCATGTTCTTAACCAATTTTGAAACCAATGTGTATGGCAGCTAGAGCTGACCTGTAGATATGAGTTGTAGATACAGTGAAACCTTGTTTGTGGGAAGTTGATCGTTGTACAAGGAAGCAAAGAGATCGATGTAAGGCTGCTCTATCATCCCAGGGAGAGTGTATCCACCACTAAGTCATCGGACCCTGCCATGTGGATTGTCTGCAGGTCAACTGCATGATCCCTTGTCCTTTCCATTAATGTGGCTTTGGTTGGCAGTGTGAAAAAAAAGAGGCAAGAATGCCGCAAGACATACTCAAAGACGGAAATGACATTATCACTCAGAGTCTCTAGCATGACTATAGTGAGGTCTGGATGGAAAGGAGAACTCTCCTTTCTCATCAAAGGAATTTACCTCAATAAGTGGGGAAGAAATGAAATAGGTCAGAGACCGAGACAAAGTCTTCATGTAACCTAGATAAAGTTGGTGTCAGTCTTTATCAAGCAAGGAGTTCTTAACAAAAAGGCTTGCTTAGTCAAATGCATAAGTTGTCTTCAGAGGCAGTGTATAACACCTGAATATGCAGAAGGGTGTTGAAGACGTGCATGTCAAATTGAAGGTAAGCCGTGTTCTGTACCCAGCGTGGCCGCCGGCATCCCGACTGTGACAGAAAACTTTGATCATTTTCACGCATACGTGAAAAAAAAAACGGCTGGCATAGAGGAGTCAGGTCGCATGACATTTGCGATATGAATAACAGAATGAGCATCCATGGCAACTCATTCTGTGAAGAATACATGTTAACCTTGACTGGGTGAAATTGCTAGTAATTTCCACTTGAGAAAAATCTCCGCAGACAAACAACAAAACAAAACCATTTCGGTGTCTGAAATTATGCTAAGCACTGACATCATATTCATTTCAGAAACGAATACGGTCTGACAGAATTCTCTCTCTTCGTTTCAATCACGCTGAGCGTTAATATAAAAAAAAAAGCCTGCGAAACTATCACAACAAAATAGGTGACTCACAGCAGGCCTACTATTGACAGACCCTGTAACAGTCACAGTAAGCAAAAACTGTGGACATTCCCACTTTGAAGTGAACACATGTTTGGACAGTGTGCATTATGGCAGGGCTGCACGGCAGAATCTGTGCTCACGTGGGGCCACATAAGTGTGGGCCACAAAATGGTCGTTCAGCCGATCACAGGATTGTACGTCGTGAAAAGCAGTGGAAATAGATTCGCACAATTTGTCCAGCAGGGCCCCTTGGAGAAACCTCGGATTATGGGTGCCAAGGGGTGTGTAAAAATCCCAATGGCTTGAAGAATGTTAGGTTCGGATGTCTGGGGATGCAGACTGGAGAGACGCAGCGGTAGGTCTGCGTCACGATAACAAATTTACCCTGACAAAACTGAAAAAGATTGGAAGACTGCCTGGACAATGCTATTTGTTCGTTCCAGTCTTGGTGTCTGGTAACGTAGTCTTGAATGCGATCACCAGGTAAAGCGTGGACTCACTTCCCTGTGGCCTGGGTGGGCCTACCAATGGTAGCCAGAGTAGCTCCAGAAGGCTGTGATTGAGACTCGGGATTGGGTCTGCATCAGATGGCATATTCACCGGGGCAATGATCCGGGAAGTTGGTCCAGAAAGTGCTACCATGTGGATTATGTTTGGATGCCCACACTGTAGATATGTCGGAAGCTAGCTAGGTCACATTTGCATGTAACGGCCCCCTGGAAAAATGGGGCAGTGGCTTGTGTTCATTGAGGAGGGCGCCTGAAGGACTCTCACAATACATGTATAATCGAAGATAGACAAGACGAGCATTTACAATATTTATAATCTAAATTTATATAATACAAGGTCATATTTATGACAAAAAATTTCTTTTTTTTTTCCATAACTGATAACATAAGGAATTTGTAAAGTTCCAAGGACCCTTTTATAACAGTGTTCCACTGTGTTCAACAAAGTAGTTGTCTCCAAGACGTTTTGCTTGAAGGCCCTAAATTAGATAACGGGAAGGCAACAAGGAGACATTGTCCGGGGCTGCTCCAGCCTTACAAGGGAGAGCGATCTGCCAAGGCAAAGAGCCTACTTCACGAGTGGGAGCCCCGTTGCAGGAATATCTCAAGACATGGGGCGGTCGGTTGACTGGCACAGGTGTGGTCAGTGTCTTCCTCCGGAAGGGAGGTGGACAGAGGATCCGGAATCTGGAATGAGTCACGGATGGGCAGCGGTGGCTTGAATCCCAGCCGGTGGGCAGCCCGGCAGCAGAGGTGGCAGACGGGGCCGTGAGAGGCAGAACGCCTGGATGCATTCCCAGTCAAAGTCAAGGGGGGCTGCAGAATTCCGGGCTGTGGGACCAGGAGAAATAAGGTCTGATGACTCAGTGATATCCAGTTGAAAGCCGGAGCCGTGGATGGGCAGCTTGAAGACCCGGAGGCATAAAAACCTGCGGGACCCGAAAGGGGGTTAGCGGGAGTCCGGGTGTCATTGCTCGATGGTGCAACAGGTGGGGCAGGCCATGGCACTTGCAGGGGAGCCAGGCCTGGTGACTTCGGTGTATGGCCGAAAGGGAGTATGCCCGGGGGGCCGCAGGAGAAGTAGTGTTCTAGGCCAATGTCGAACAGTGGTACTCTTTGGTGTTGCCGGGGAACGCTGGCCGGCATGCTGCATGGATTCCTCTGGGCAAAAGGCATGGCGTACCTCACAATGATGGCGGGACGGGCCCCGGAGACGTCTAATGGGGTATTCTGTGGGAGTCCCGGCTGGCTTGCCAGGCCAGCAATTGACCAAGGAGACAGGGTCCTTGCCAGATCCTGGCGGTGTCCCTGCTCAGGTCTTCCACAGTCGACTGTCAGCTCGGTGGGGCTGAATGAGCCAGGGGCCTGGCCAGATCCTGACTGGAACCCCCTGGACAACAGCAAGGCCTTTTCCTCATCCAGAGAAGGGGGGAAATGTTTTTAATTTTTGAAATTTATTTCTATAATTCACTGCAAGTTACTACATGTTTTCATTCCTAATATGCAATTTTCTCACAACAATACAACGTAAAACCCTCTGTTTTGTTCAAACAAAAATACAAATACAAACTCTCAATTTTTTTTTACTTTGGTAAGATTATTCTGTTCTTTATTTTGTGGGGTTAATTGTTGATGCCTAATGAAAAACCATGTAAGGTTTACAAAGTTCCAAAAAAAGTAATGTCTAAGATTCCAGCTTGCAAGTAATGTTCTGGATGTGCATTGCTCATTGCTCTCTGGTTTTCTTTTTTCATTTTTGCTGAATCTAGTATATCATCCTGTTAGGGTAAACTGGCATATAATATACAAACCTCCAAAGTTTTGATGGTTTTCCATTCTGTCTGAGAATGAATAATGACGGTAATTCTCCCACTTTCCATTCAGAGGGTAAAGGGTTCCTTGAAAGTTCTTGTTGAAGTACTCTAACCACCAGTATGTTTTTCAAGTTAGACATATCCAAGATCAACTGCAAGCAAACAAATACAATGGAGAAAGAAACATGTTACTTACATGTTCATGTACCATAACCACTTCGTGCCGGAGAATTTTTCAGTGTTGATGATGCTGGGCCGGCATGACTATCATTTTTTCCGTTTTCAAAATCCTTCAAAGATTCATCATTTCATTTAACGGTCGTTTATAGCCGCATGAAGTAATCTTTAGGCACAACTCTAAGTTGATAGGTGACCTTCATTGACGCCCGAGTATATCAGCCAGGCCTGCAGCCTTGTAAACAGAGCCCAGATTGTGCGGTGTTATATAATTGTCTTTTGTTCACGGCCGGGGTCTCCAAACTCGGACAAAGGAAACAGGGTCCTGTAACAAAAGACCGTACTCCGAACAAAAGACCAGGCTGCTAGGCATGACCGGCATTTTTCACTCTCAAAAGTGGTGATAATCCAGCATTATTTTGAAACCGTATACCAGGGTTTGGGGTATTTAG